TGAAGATTCACACATAGATCGGAAATTTAAGGCATTCGTACTTGACGTTTTCAGATTTTTCGATTGTTCCTTCAATTTTGAAAAAAATCGATAAAACCGATAGGGGATCAAATATTGATTCGAAAAAAATTCATCAGTTTTTCAGTGATAGTTTTCACAAATTACAAGTGATATCCACCAAACTCACGTTGAGCAATGTCCTTACTTATCGTTTCGAGATGCTGTTCTTTGTTTTTAAAAATTGATATCAGTTATCGGAAAAATCGATAAAATCGATTTCTTTGGGACATCCGATTCAAATCCAATGTAGCTGATATTTGGCTCTGTTTTTCGCAAACTGCAAAAAATTTTCACGAAAATCCTGTTGAGCATTAGTTTTATTGACAGTTATTAGTTGATGCCAATTTTTCTTCAATATCGGTATCAATTATCGGAAAAAAATCGATAACATTATGCCACTTTTGACTCCCAATTCAAATTCAGTCAAGCTGATTTTTGGCTATATTTTTCGGAAATGGCGAAGAATTTCCACCAAAATTACGTTGAGCATTGTTTTTATCAACAGTTATGAGGTACTGACATTCATTTTCAATATCGATATCAATTACTGGAAAAAATAGATACAATCGATCACTTTGGGACATCCGATTCAAGTCCAGTCAGGATGATTTTTGGTTATATTTTTCGCGAACGGTGAAGAATTTTCAGCAAAATTCACGTTGAGCATAGTATTTACCGATAGTTCGTTTTCAATATCGGCTTCAATTTATCGGATAAAAATCGATGAAATCAGAACCCTTTTGACTTCCCCTTCAAATCGAGTTTACCTGAATTTGGCGATGTTTTTCGCAACTTCCTTGGGATTTTAATTAACTTTATCGGCTTTAGTCGTGACAATTAAAAACCATTGCCCTGTGAGTTCCTTTGTGACCAAGGGAAGATGATTGTATCGACTTCCCTGAGGGAAGTCAATACAATCATGTCTTCATAGGAATTTGCGAATACACTAATCAAACGTATGTTCAACTGAGATGTCTACACTACAGCTGATTGTTATTCACACACGCGTGACCATGCTTCACATAGCGGTATCTCATTGGCTGAGTGCAGTACGCGGTCTCTGATTAGTGTTCGAGACCCTAGGACGCTCTCTGATTGGCACAATCGATTGGCCAGTAATACTTCGCATTTGAACCTGCTGTGAACAGCTGTGGGACGAAGGTCTTACTTCTGCTCCTGTTACGCCGCCATCCGGTTGATACGATAGGCTCCTTCAACTGATCATTTCTCCTACCACAAGTTGTTTCTTACGTTTTTGTTTTCTGTTTGTCTGTTTAACTACATTATTCCAACTACCATAAAGAATTTATTCAGCTGTTTTACTTAAATACCTGCCATCCCGATTCTGGCTCACGCTTTGCGATACTAAGTTAGACTTTGTACTCCTGCAATTAATTAGTAAATTAACCACTACTAGCATTACTTTTCCCCATGCAGCCAAAAAGGAGGGTACGTCTTAGCATTCGGTCTGAAAGAGCGTCCACTATGAGGGCAAGAACGGCCCACGAGTCCCAAGAGCAGACTACAATGCGACTATCACAGGTCGCTCAACGCAGCGCCCCTCATACAGGCCTCGCAGTCACAAGAGGAGCGTGCCACCTGCTTGGCTGGGAAAGCTGCCTACAGGGCTTCGCTGCGATCAAGGCTCAAGAATGCACAACGGTCGAGAATGAACGCACAGGCTGCAGCTACCACCTCTGCGTTCACTCTCGACCGTTGCATCTTCGGCTTCCGAGACTCATCATCAAAAGCTTCTTCGTAACGTATGAAACGCTACTGCCATTACGAAATCAAGGGCAATAGAGACACTTGACTGCAGGCGCGCCCGTCAATCCAGGGACGCTGCTGCAACAGCGAGCGCTAGTGCTGCTGAGACTCCCCTCCTTAGGTCTGTTCGAAATGCTACGAATGCTGCCACCACTGCCAGGTCGAGGGCAGCTGAAACATTTGACCGCAGGCGCGCCCGTCAATCCAGAGACAGAGCTGCAGCAGGCAACACGCAATGCCCGCAACGCTGCAGCGACTTCTGCTGCCAGAAACTCCGAGGACCCACAGACAAGGGCAAAAAGACTTTCAGGGGCTGCTACAAACATGGCCGCTGTGCGCTTATCTCAAACTCCCCAAAATCGCCGCATGCGCCTCGACGGCGGCATTCAGCACCTTGCGGCCGCCAGTGATATTACCTGTCCCAGGAGCTCTTTGTGTTCTTTCTTGTGGTGTGTAACGCAACAATTCAACTGATGATAGCAGGTAGGCACAAAGAAAACCGGTGTCGCACGTCCAACCTTCTCACGAGCTGAAAGCCCTCTGATCTGAAACAGCAAAAACGAGCCTGCTTTATACAGCTGCGGACCGACCACGATTTTCATGCGAATCACGAGGCAACGAGATTTCGCGTTAACTAACCGAGACCGCCCGGCATAAAACGTGGGCGCCGCCATTTTGGTTTTCTTTTTTACCGTTGGAAGGACCAGAGTTTGCATACTGCGCAGATTCGAACGCGTTTCCGAGGTAAGCCATTTTCACAATTTTCCCCACAGCTTTCAATTACTACCCCAGCATTAACTGAACTACGCGTGACGACATCAGTGTAGGGACATTGACCTGAGTTTGCCAATTCTGCAACCCCCGCAAATGGGCCGGGAAGCCTGCCGGTCTTTTCTGCTCCTACGGCAAAGTTCGATTGCCACCTCAGCATGAACCACCTACCCCATTGAGGGGACTAATAGCCGGCTCCCATTCTGACTCCAACCACTTTCTTAAAACAATTAGGCAATACAACAACTATTTTCAAATGACCTCATTTGGGGCTCAGGCGGTTCGAGAAGAAGGTTGGATGCCAACTTTCAAAATACAAGTGCAGGTAGAGGAGACCTCTACGCCTAAATTCCTTCAAGTGTACTTTATTGCAGACTACAACCTACAGGCCGAAACCCGGATTGGTATTTTGCCGCCGTCGAGAAGAGTTCCTCGTAGGGAAGTCCTACTACTACTTCAGGCCCTGCTTCACGATGTTAACAGCTACATTCGCAGTTTCAAATATGCTTTGTAAAATGCTCCCTTTCCTTCCTTCAGCATTGTAATTGACGCCGACAAACAACCTCATGATGAACACGAACGCCGCTCCTGCTTGCAACGAAATGATGGTTATCATATATGGGGAGCAAGACCACACTCGCGATATTGCGCTCTTCACTGGATTTCATAGACCCATCGACCATATGACGCATTGCAGTACCCTTTACATTTCCCTTATGGCGACAATGGCTAGCACTTCGGCATTCCCCTTCATACTCCGTGTGGCCAACCTAAAACGTCTTCCAAAGCCTTATTGTGCAAGGCCTTCTACTCATACAGATTCATGGTTAGGGATGGAGACTTCAACCTGCTTCATAGATGCAGGGAGCTTTGCCACCAGTTTGCAGTTGACATGGCCGCTAAGATGGAATCGGAGAAGCTTTGTTTTATACGGAATCATCAGAAACAGCTACACTCAGACTCCTACGTATACTTACGCGACAGCCTTCGAAATGATGCCAATCCCCGAGACCTGTGCATTCTTCCCTCTACCTACACAGGGGGATGCGTTACATGCATGAACGCACGCAGGACGCTATGACATACGTTAGGCAATATGGGCGGCCAGACTTATTTATAACGTTTAACTTCAACCCCAAATGGGTTGAAATAACGCGTGAACACCTACCCGGACAGGATTACATTCACAGACATGACATTACCGCCCGCGTATTCCGCTTAAAACTGGGAAAATTTATGGACTTAATAGTGAAGGGGTGGGTCCTACAGTGAATGCGCAACCACTATTTTACATTGCCAGAATTAAAAATCTTAACCGATTATGAACGGGTGGCAGTCTTTGGGTAAGCACGGAGCAGCAACACAGCATCCACCTATTGCAACCGGTTGTCTTTGATCTCATTGATTTTGCTACCAGTGAGATTCCCAGACTATCAGGGACCCCAACAACAGAGGATACATGCGTAAGTTCAATAATTCAAACACCAAAGCAATTTAACTACATAAAACCCTGAGCAACGCCGGGATTTTCTGCTAGTATTTCTTAAAAGTCATTCATTTTCGTTCTTAATCACGAGAAAGGCCGGTTTATGGAAAAAATAGGATGATTCATTATTTAAACATGCACACAACGACACATACACACATTTCATTCTTTAGTTTTAGCATCTGATGATGTTTTGAATGACGAAACGCGTAATCAAATCTATTTTTAATGAAACGTTTGGTATTTTTAATAGAATATAATTTTATATATAAATATAAAAGTGATCATTAAAGTCAACACTTAGAGGCGACACAATCGTCAGGCCGCGAATGCTTGATTCTTCCTCGGCTATTTATGTATGTGGGTCAATGGTAACCTATTCTGGCGGTTATTTGCGGGAGTGACTTGTTTATTTATTTATTTGTTTCGGTTAATTTATAGCACACCTTAAAACTATATTTCTTCATACATATATATATATATATATATATATATATATATATATATATATTCAGAACATTTTCCTAGAACCAGATAGATAGAAAGATTAAAAAGTACGTAATGTCAGTGAAAACATCAGGTAGGATAATAATAATAGTTTCAGACATTGAATAGGAAAATAGTTAAAATGATATTTTATATATATATATATATATATATATATATATATATATATATATATATAGATAGATAGATAGATAGATAGATAGATAGATAGATATATAGATAGATAGATAGATAGATAGATAGATAGATAGATCCTCATCCGGGCGGAGCTTTTTAGTCCCGCTTAGATCTTAAATTCTCTTGCGCACATGTGGCAAAAATTGGGCGTCTTTTACAATAGATGCGACATTAATATTTTCAAGTGTCGTTTTAGCCCCCCAACTAAGGCATATTCCATTTTATACTCTCTTCAAGTAGAAACGCTGCATGACGTGTAGAGAAGGAGTTCTGCCTGTGTGTGGCGTTTTCGATGATATATAGACACATATGAAAAGACATAGATAGATAGATAGATAGATAGATAGATAGATAGATAGATAGATAGGGATATGGATTGTCGACTTTACATACAGAACACACACACATACATATATATATATATATATATATATATATATATATTAATTGATAATTGCTCTGGTGTTACACTGAGCTCTCTGGGTTACATTCTCTTTAGAATTATCCGACCCTTCATTATCTTGGTATATATATATATATATATATATATATATATATATATATATATATATATACTCAGTAAAGTGCTGGATGCACAGATTCCTTAGACCGATCAAAAAACGCTTACCAACGTTAAATCCTATGAAACGATGACTCTAGCCGTAAATCAAGTTTCACGCTTACGTGATCATCAGACAACTATAACGGGCTTATATATATATATATATATGTGTGTGTGTGTGTGTGTGTGTGTGTGTGTGTGTGTGTGTGTGTGTGTGTGTGTGTGTGTAGAAATAATGAAAAGTCCAGCAAAGGAGCACTTCCAAAAATATTTCGGATATCTTCTGTAATTTTCAAAAGTGGATCACACTAAAACTTTTCAGCACCGGCTGATATGAATTTTTATTATTATTATCATTTCACCCCAAGCAATGCGATTATCTCCCAAAGGCGCAAGGGGTTACTAGGAGTGAAACAGAATGAGAAGATATTAGTGATGGGAAAGGACAATAAAAGAAAAACAAAATTAAGGAAAATAAAAACGACGATTGACGGTGCATTTAAATTTTTGAACATCGTAGGAAAACCAAGAAACCGGAAGAGGGTTTCACGGGTGAGAAGTGCGAGTAAAGAAACTGTTAGAATAGAACTTACGGCTAATTAATCGTCAAAAGATGACACCTAGTTGCCAATCAGACAATACGCTTAAATTCCTGCGGTCGAGGTACCATGAAGGAAATCTCATCAAAGCAATTACAATGCCGGCGGTAGGTAAATGTTTAGGACTGATTACATTACAGACCCCGCTTTAGATTTTATCGAGAATCTCAAGATATATAGCAAGAGTACCAGACCAGATATACCAGAGATATTCAATACATGAATGAATGATATATGCATACATATATACGTGTGTGTGTGTGTGTGTGTGTGTGTGTGTGTGTGTGTGTGTGTGTGTGTGTGTGTGTCATCCACAGATTGTTTCGCTGTATCACAGCTCCTCAGAGTGGCTAGACGTCCGATTGTTTCAAGCCAGAATCGATACACGACACATTTGATATCAGTTAGATATCTTACCTCTAGGACAGTGATTTTGTTATTTCTCCAAAACACTGTTCCGCCATACATTTACTGAAGATTATTAAGTAATTTTATGCGCTGTCTTCCTCTATCTCCCTTGCCTTTTATCTGTCCTGTGAGTATCAGATTTTCCAAGCCCTCCTTTCTCATTATATGCTCTAGAAAACTCAACTGACTTTTCCTGATTTTTACATTTTCGCCAAATGAACTCGTAATTACTGTCAAATTCGCAAATCAGCGCGTTAATCTACAGAATTTAGGGCTTTAAACATAATCTGCCTGCCGATGCATGCTTGACTGTATTCATCATGGATTCTCTTTTCCACTGTTTGCTGTGGCATTAATTAAAGCATTAATTGCATCGATTATGTTGAATTATTTTTTTAATTTTAATTTTTACTTTCGTGAACCTTTTATGCATGAACAGTGAACCCATTTCATGCTATTTAAATTAAATAAATTTTCGTCTTCCTTTTTATCACATTTGTAACAAGTTTCTGTGTGAAATAAGGAAAATAACATCATAGAATGAAAACAGAGATAAAGGGAAATATCTTTTTGCATGAATTAAAATTACGTTGAAATATCTAAACTAATTGCTCAAGGTTAAGGGTGGCTGAAGAATTTATCACAATTGTCCAATGATTTCCAGAAAAGCATTATAAAATTGATTTGAAGCCAATGTCTCAAAACATGCCAAAATATCTGTAGAATTTTATTTCGAAAGGATCACATCGAATGTCAACAATTTTGTAGCTGTAATCTAAATTTGCGTAGAAGTATAAAATTGTTGATAAGCAGATGAAATACATCTACAAATTTAGCAAATTTATTTATAATTTAAAAATGTTCATAAACAAAGTGGTATAGTTGCATATAACGAAATGATACATCATAAAAATCGTCGATTTATTTGTTGATCCAAATGTTAAATTGTTTATTTTTTATCTTTATATGTTTGTTCTCACTTTTTCACGTATGTAAATGTTTAACGCGTGAAATTAGGATTATGTTGAAGGCATCTACTAATAACCGAAAGACATCGATAGGTAAAATCGGCTGAAGAGGATGTAAATTGTGTTGTTAGGAAAGGGAATAAATTATAAGATATGTGTGGATACCACTGAGAGTTGAATAATGTCGTAAATGATGAATCGGTAAAGCTGCGAAATTTTTTTTTTTTTTAAACCGAAGACTGGATAACACAGATTAGATATCGAAATTTATAGAAAAACAATCGACATCAATTATGTCCTAAAAATTAAGAATTACTTCTAAATTATCATTGGTTAAAATATATTTTAACTCAAATATACAAAATGTAAAAAACGAACTTTGTGACAATGATTTGATCATTCAATTTTTCTAAACAAGATCGTCTAAAATGACAAAAAAAATGAAGCGTACTTTTTCGAGTGTTCTCATTGGTTAAAAAAAAAAAAAACAGAAATTTGACAATACAAATTTTAATGTTTCTGACGCCTTTTTTCTATGAAAAAAAAATAATAAGTTCATTTCTACAAGAAAACTCCAGGTTTGTTAAATATCTCACCCAGACGAATACAAGCACAGACATAATCGAAACGTTGATGCCATTTGACTAAATAATAGCGAAATTAGATGAATTCGATGAAAAAGAATGGCAGAAAAGAAAAGCGATGGTTTTAAGATATTTTTAAAAAATATTTATATTGTAAGACGAAACCAAACAGCAATGTTGAACTTCTTAAGAACAGATGGAATACTTGCTCATCTTACCAACAAATTTTACCAATGCAGATGTTTATCTTTTGTATTCAAGTTTTATGTTTCATAACCTCAAGGCTTCGCAAAATGTTTCTTTCTCATAAAATGAAGCATAAAGAAATTATAGACGATGTTAACTTGAAATCAACGCCCTTAGATAATTCAGAAGGAAGCGCACACACACACACACACACATATATATATATATATATATATATATATATATATATATATATATATATAACGCTAATAAACTGTAAGCAGATATACTCGTCCGGCAAAACTTTAGGTGTTTTAGCTTGTGAATGAACAAACCAATACCTAAGGGAAAAAAAGGGTAAAAAAAGAAAGAACTAAGAACATGTACTTCCGGCATAAATAATCGTCTAGAATCTAAGTTCAGAGTCCAAAGAAAAAACTCCTACACGAGTAAAGTAAAATAATTAACCAAACAAAGTGCTCAATACGCTAAGTAGAGCAGAATAAATAAAATAAACCTAAAGAGCTAGACTAACCTACCTAGGTTTTACCTACGTTAGTCTGGCTCTTTAGGTTTATTTATATATATATATATATATATATATATATATATATATATATATATATATATATATATATATATATATATATGCGTATATAAATATACACATGGTACGATGGATAAATTATCGTTTAGATTACGCAAAAATGAAAATAACACTGACATCTCATTTTAACAGATATATTAACCAAAATTACACAAAAATATTTTGAAATACTAAAGAATAAATTTATTCAATAAAATCTCCATTTGCGTCAACCATGGCCCTTCAGACGACTTCGGAATCTCCTGCAAATCTTCTGGACTGTCACCTTGTTTCAGTTGGTGAATTCTGCCATTCTGAGTTTTGTGTCACTCGCTTAATTGCGCGCCACACATAATGATCAAAGGGGTTGCAGTCTAGGGAGTTAGATTGCCAAATTTAAGGGGTAATATGGTCACAGAAATTGACTGACAGCCATGACTGGGTTCTCCTGCTTGTATGGCATGGTGCGGAGTCCCGTTGCCAGACATAGGATCTTAATGACCCAGGGTAGCACTACTTCGTCAAGGTACTTGATGTAGGCCTCCGTGTTGAATCTAAGACCCTCAACAACACATTCGGGAGTTCTTATGAGAACGATCACAGTGAGTTTTTCTAGCTGCCGTACCTTCGTAATCATCATTAGACTCATCCAACTCTTTCCAAATATTCTACACTGTCCTCAGATTGACATCCAAATACACTGAAATGTTTGTATTGGGGCTTTAGGCGCGAATACCAAGCAGTACAACAAACCGTTTCCAAATTTCTGGCGTAGTGAATTTTTTTTATCATGGTGGTCTTTTTCTCACAGACGGTGCCCAACTGACCCTACTGTATTGTGCAGTCGACAAAATAAAAAAGACAACGTGTTTGCGCGAAATTAAAAATATAAAATGGCAACAATTTACCAATCGCACTATAACTCTCTCCCCTCTCTCTCACTATATATATATATATATATATATATATATATATATATATATATATATAAATAATTATTTATTTAAAAATTATAACATAAATATGTTATAAAATCACTACAAAAATAGCCATTTTGTTTCAACACCTCCGGTGTCTTATCAAGTGATGATGTTGAATGTAGAATAAATGGTTTTCAAAGTTTCAAATTAATTAACGATCCTTCGCAAGGTATAAACGAGACAGTGCTTAGTGCAAAATAACGGAATATATTAATAAATATACTGTTGTAACGTTTAACAGGTTATTGAATGAGGAATAACCAAAACGTAGGTTGGAAATGAAATGGTGATCTTTGTAACATCAACAAAATACAATACTCGCCAACGGCGTGAAGTAGGTAAACCACTGCTAGTCGTGGACTACTTATACATCCATATTACCCCCACTTACAATAGTGCCCAACGTATTCATACGGATTGGGACATACGCATTAGTGTTCATAAGTACGGTATATAGCATATACATAATACCCCACGCCAACAGAACGACCTGGAATTTCTTGCACTAGT